TTTCCATATACATAATGTTATATTATAGACGTGCATATATTTTTGTTACAGATTAACTTTAAATGAAAAAATAATATTACAATGCATGAATGAATGGAACACGGTGCAATACTGGATTGTGTATATATATATGTGTGTTTGTTCTCAATCTTCTCTTCTCTCTTTTCTCGCTCTCTCCTTTCTCTCGAAATGTGTGTGTGCTTGTTTTTTCCATTCATTTGTCTACCAACAATTCGGGATAAATGTGCCATTTGCGTATGAAATACAATGAATTTTTGCCTTTAATTCTGATCGTTTTGATCAGAGAATAGGGATTGTTCGAAATAGAATGAGCGAGAGCTTGCGAATACAACGAACAATACTCGTTTCAATATTGAAAACTCTTGTCACTGAAGTTATGTTTTCTCTGTATAATTTTCGGTTTAACAGCGTTCGTTTCGGTTACCGTTTCTATTTTTGTGGTAGCATATCATTTAAATAAATTGACGACAATTTTTTGATTGTTTCTCTCTTTCACACACATGCACACACTGATTGTCTCACGGCGTTTTACTCACCGGTTCTTCATGAAAATCAAACATAAAATAGAAAATATAATGCCAAAACTCCCAAACAACAAACTTCCAGTTTTCCATTCGAACTAGTTCAGTCCGAGGGTTCGAGAGATCGAGAATGCTGACTTTTTCACTTTGTTCACAGAGTTAATTATTCATATGTAATACATGGTGTTTTGTTATTGTGTTACTTATGTTTCTCCATCCAGTGTGTGTTTTTTTTACTTGTTTTCTTCAGGTTTTTTTTGGTCGGAGTTTGCAAATGAATGGTAACAGTAACCAAAAATCCTGCACATAAAACAAATTACATTGTCATCTGCTATTGATGATGAATTTATTTTAATTTTTTTTCTTCTCGAAGAGAGAGAGAGAGAGAGATAGGATCAACGAGGTCGTTGCTGAAATAAAGACATTTGTTTCTTTTAAGCGCCACATATGTGTGTTTATCAGGGCAAAAAAATGTATATTTGTTGCATACACATAGTTTGGTGAAGTGTGCATATATGCGATGAAAACTGGATGGAATACTTTTGGATTTGACTCTCTGGATTTTGCTTTGAATACCAAAATATCTGTGCATTTGACAAATTAATTATTGAAAATCGCGAAATCGAGATGTGTGCGCGAGTGCGCGCCTTCTCTCTCTCTCTTTCTCTCTCTCTCTCATCTCTGTATACACTTTAGCCATCCCGTTTTGCACAATTCATGCACGAATTTGATATGTTCTGTTTCGCTTCGGTTCGCATCATTTCGCTTCCAATTGAAAAACAGTTTCATGAATGGCATGCATGCTGTGTTATGATTTTCAGGGCTTCCTCCAAAATAAAAAAAATGTGTGTAACTCGCACGTGTTTTGCTACTTTGAAATCGAAGAACAATTCGATTGACACACGCGTTCACAAGATGAGATGACTTTAATCAATCGTTAGAGAGTCGAAAAGAAAAAAATTAATTCAACATTTTGATTATGGTTTTTCAGCTGCGCTCTCTATCGCGATTGTCATCTCTCTTTTTCCACATCTCAGCTGCGTGATTCGAAAAAGGGAGTACATGTGCGTGTATTCATTCGAGAATCGAGATTGAGGTTGAGAGACACAGTTTCTCAAAGCCATCGAACGAATCGTTGAGAATACGTGATTTCGTTAAATGTGAAAAACTTCTATCGTTTGAATGAATTTTTTTTTACTTTTTCAAAAGTATGTTTCAAGCACCCGAAATTCTATCGACAGCCTGAACAATAGAGCTCAAATATTGAAACGTACGCGCGCGCACATGTACCACACTCTATTCAGGGCCAAAGTTCTGAAAACCGACTCTTTTGGGCTGACTTACTGGCTGCCATATCTCGAGTGTGTGTGTGTGTGCAAGACGATGTTTTTCCATTTAGTTAAATTCGAGTATTTCAGAACAACAAAAATGCTAGTTTGTTTAGTTGACGATACAAAACTGTATGTATCGAACGCGTGTGCTGACTTGCTAAACACATCAAAATCACATAATAATAGAGAAAGAATATTGAATAATGTTGGGGTGAGTGTGGCAAAAAAAAAAAACCAACAACACATACTACAAAATCGATGTTTTTACTCGATACTTTGTTTTTCATGTCGAGTCAAGACGATGTCAGGCACACACTCACCGAAAAAACACATACTTACTGTACTTTTTACCGGGTTCATTGTCATCATTCCGCTTTTCAAGAACCCAAAAGAGAGAAAGAGATTGACTTGTCGTTTTTCTCATCATTTCATTTGATTCAATTGACGAGTGAGAAACGGGACAAGAGAATACGCGTATGAAAGACAAGAAGTTTTCCTTGTCGTTTGTGATTTAAAAAAAAAGAAAAGAACCAAGACACGATTGCAACAAAAACTACAATCAAAATAAACTAAAATCAAGATGTAGTTGGGCAAGTGATTCGGTGAAGTTCAAGAGTTCGATGTTTATGTACGTGCGATGTCAGGCCAATTTATGTGTGTTTGGTTTAATTCATGCCTGCAACAATAACGGTTGTCTTCTTTTCAGGCATTGAAATCGACTGGATGTCATTCGATTCGTGTATATCGAACACACACAATGAAATTGAATCGATCCAGAATTTCATACATATTATATCGGTTTCATTTTTATTTCATATTTCCATTCTTTTTCCCCATTCATTTAGGGTACTTCTGTTTACAGACTCTGACACACCATTATTATCATAATATGGAATAGATGAACATTGGACGGCTGCTCATACTTCACATATTATGTTAATATATATCCGTTACGATAATTTACTTTTACAAAGCGCGAAATTATTTCTTTAATAAATTTTTACTCGAATTGCAACGGGCTAACAATAACCGACAACAATGAGAGATATAGGTCTGATCGGACATAAATCCTCCTTTTTTTACTCTCTTTTCCATGCATTCGCACCAACAATTTATGGGTACAAACATAATTCTATATACATTTGTATGGTTTTTACCAACAAAACTACACCAGAGAAGAAAAAAAACAACAACCGTAAATAATTACTCAAATCATGCGTAACTAAATGGGAAGCTCAGTGATTCTGAACGAAATAAATACAATGCTTTTATATGATGTATCAGTTGAATATTTTCTCACCGAAACAAAAAAATGTTTTGCTTTAAATTTATTTACGATATGGATTCGGTGGAAGTTTTTATTTCTTTCAATGATTATTATGATAATATTTTGAATGCCTTGTTTATATGTAACCGAACCAAAAATTGAAGAATCATGAATCAATTTCTTGAGAACAATGTTTATACATTTTGTATCAATACACAATACACAATACCCCATTTCCGATCCCATATAAGTTCGACGAAAATTTCAAACTATGTACACAAATGAATTATTTACTGAATTCTTGAAATATTCGAATAAATATGTACATATATTAATGCAATAATAGGGACTTTGAACTGAACTGAATCAAACTATAATCAATTTAAGGGAAATTAGGCAGAATTTTCAGAATTTAAAAATCAAACCCAATGATTAGGCAATTTCCAGAGGAACACGACGTTTAAAAAGAGAAACTTTCAATGTAACAAAAAAAAAGGTTCATTATCAGTCAGTAGCACAGTTAAAACAGTAGTCGAATGATGATAATTCATAAAGGACCAACACATAATATAATATGTTGTTTTATATGCATTTTGCTTAAATTTCACTCCAACCCATGGTCACAGTGTGTGTGTGTGTGCTAAAATACTTTTGAAAAGTTGAAAATCATTTGAAATGATTGTATTTGCATGTTTGAGCGTATACGTCATTTATAATACAATGGACTATAGTTTAATAATTAACCGAATTCATATATAGAAATAAATACGTGTTAACCGGTCGCACCACTAGATCGAAAACGGAAGTGACGCTGCCGCACACTCACTCACTCACACAAATGAGATGAGAGAAGACAGTTGGAAAAACGGTCGCTATGAGCGAATGTGTCAGTATTAATAAAATATGAATTCGAACGATAATTTGATAATTTGGTGGTCAATGTGTACATTCCACACATACATGTTATATAAACACCATCCATTTTCGCATCGGTTGTTGATAGTGACTATATCAGCTCACAAAACTGATTAAATAGATCGAATGTTATACATTAGACCCAATTGCAATTATATTCAAATTGTGTGTGAAATGTAATCATGCATTGTAATTGTTGCGCGCTGCAAGTACTCACACTTTTGATTACCATATATGTATATGTCCGTCCAATGTCCGAGTGTGTTGAGGTGATTAAAGTAATCGCATCAATATTTGAATCGCCTGATTATATTTCGATCAAATTGGATGGAATGTCTGTCGAAGCTTATGATTTGTGGTCTATTGTTGCATATTACTTTTTAATAATATATGAAAGATGAATTTATTGACATTATCGAACACAATTCATAATTTCTTATGCCATTTACATTTCATTGGAACGAAAAAAAAAATTGTAATTTTCGTTTAAGTAATTGAAGTGTATATGCACATATTTTTATTGATTGGTTTACAATCTTCTTTATTTTATGAGTGCCACCGCAAATATTCGCGTTTTTTTCACATATGCAATTCGTTCGAAAAAATGTTTGATTCAACTTCAATTAAAAAAAAATATTGATATTCTTTTTTTCGTATGGATATTGTATGTGTAATTGAATTTTACTGACGATAATTCAAATATATATATATGTAATAATAACAGCAGCAACAACACAAAAACCAAAATCGATTTATTAATTTTGCCAGAGAAAGAGAGAAATTGAGAGCACCAATAAATTAATGAATTATTGTGCCGAACCAATCATTCGTTTAAATCAGTTTAAATTAATTGATGGGAAATTGCGTGTTATGCAATGAACGAACCATTGCTGTACATGGAACGTATGTAATATCGATTAAATTGAAAATAAAAAAAATACTTACTTATATTACCGCTAGGAATATAGACAGAACCCGAGGGTGTACGAACTAAACACGATGGTTCAAAATCTACTCCCAAATCAGATGGGTTGCCGGTAACACGACCATTCATTCGATTCATTGTTGGATTTCGTGGTGGTACATCTGGTGGTGCTGATGCTGCAACTCCGTCAAGGAGACAGCCTGCAAATCAAAGATTAAAATTCGTTAGTTTTGTTTGTTGTTATTTCAATTGAATATTTCATATCATATAAAAGTGTTGTTATTTTCGACTTTTTTTCATTCGAGAACTCTCCAGTAAAAGCAAATGCGATCCGGTGTGACACAAACATTCACCGAAAATAATTTTCATACACGTACTCAAATAAGGTTTTAGATTAGTATTCCCTCCCCACCCCCGGTCCGAAAATGTTAAAAACCAAATTCAGCCAATTTTCGTGCACACTGTGTAAGTGAGCGTTGTGTTTCATAATAAACTTTAAACTTTAGTTAGTTTAGCAAAAATTCTCGTGTGTGGCTGTCGCTGCTTCTGTTGCTGCTTGTGCTTTATGCAATATAGTTAGGTATTTTAGGCAAACAGAAAGTAACTTGACAGCGGTGCTCATCCATTTCGTTTGGTGTTGGTCCGACTTTTTCCAGGATGACATACACAGACACACACACCAGCACTGTATGAGCGCCAACGAGATGCCGTAAATGGTTGAGGTGTTGCAATTTCACCAAAAAGTGCAAATGCAAATGCCTGCAAATGCACTCATTGATTAAGTCGGCTTTTGTGGCCAATGCCATACATAACACAGCATGCAATGAATCTATATACGTATGGGGCGAATTTCATTTTAAATGCATGCCGTGTTTGATAAGAGTGGCCGAATAGTGTAAAATTACGGATTTTGATCACATGCACATATATGCCAAATGAAAAATTGACGCAAAACGCTACACACATACACACGCCGCCGTCCGCCGGTCACCATGAGCTTAGTGTTTGGTAAAAGCCGAAATATAAAGCAATCGATGTCAACCACAAAACCATCACTTTTAACTGGCGAAATTTTTATTTGCATAAACGTATAAATCCTCTTGTGCTTTCACCAAAAAATGATTGCACAAACGTTTAAAATTGTTCAAATGATGATTTAACGCAAAAATTGCACAAAAGACACACTCGCATAAAATATTATAACATAAGCTCTGACAACTCAATAAGCTATGAATTTTATAATTTTGCATGTGTGTGTGTGCGAAGCGCCAAAGTTGAAAACTCTCGGAATAATATTCGCACACAGATATAGAGACAGAGACGACAGAAAAGAAAAAAAAATCAGGGATTAGGTGGGAAATAAATTTTAGTTGATGTTGTTTTTTTTTTCTCGTTCTGTGGATATTGTTTTTAATGCCAAACGACATGTGAGAATGGCACAGTCAACATGAAAATCGAATGGAATTGTTTGTCGTCGAATCGATGCAAGGAAATCGCCTTTGCTCGCAGTCGAAATAAAATGCGACCTAATCCGCTTTTTTTCTGATATTCATTTCTTTGTACTTGTGCTTCTTATGGTTATGCTCATTTTTTTTTCTCTGTCGCTTCTTCGAATCTTTTCTTCATTCGAATAAGGTGCCGTCACACACACTGAGCTCCATGCTATTTTTAAGAACTTGTTGATCAAATTTGTGTTTGTTGCGAGTTAAGCGCAGCCAAAGAGAATGAAAAAAAAAAACGTCAAACCAAAAGAACAGATTTATCAGCGAACAGGTAATTTGGGACAAGAGTAATTTTAAAACGGCGCTGGCGCACATCACCAACACCACTTTGTTCACAATGAATCGCACAACAACAGCAGCAATAACTGAGCAACGGTTATGAGAATGAACAAAAAAAAAAACATATCATTTAATCGGATTAATTCGGAATCAAAAAAATGTGTATGGAGGATGCATTGTAATGATGATGTCTGACCCGGTAATAGTGAGTACATAAATCAAAAATATTGAGCCGATTTTTGCTTTATCTTTCGAGTTTGGCTTTTTTCACTTCTTTGTTCTTTACATATTAGTTGGTTTGGAATTTGGCATTCGGCGCAATTTTCACGTGCAAATTTATCGAATGAGAGATATTTTTGGAATATTTGTTTTTTTTTTATCTCTGAGTGCCATTTAAAGCGATTGTAAATGGAAAAGACTGCGTGATAGCTTTATTAAAATGAATTATAGACCATGAACGATATAAATAAAGAGGCATTATATTGAACTATTAGAGTCTATTTATCAGATTTTGGTTTTCGATTTTAAATGCTAACATTTATTGAGGTCGTTTTATTTGTTTTACATCCAAATATCCATTTTTATTCGATTCCATTTACTTGAATATATTGAAAATATCGATTTGATATGATTAAGTAATGAATGTCGAGTAATTTGGCGATAAAAAAAAACAAATCGATTTATGGTAAGTTTTTTTCGATTTGAAAATAATCATATTAATGTTATCAAAGTTTCATTTTAATAAAGTGAAAATGTTGTAAAGTGAAAATGTTGTTTCATTTTAATAGTCTATAACAATTCGCATCGATCGGCAAGCATTTCAATCGGCGAGAATCTCAATTATGAACAACATTTTTTCCCCTCAAATATCGAGATATGCCCAACCGCACTTGTTTGGATTTCTCTAATGAGACAAACCGATTTTCAATTGCTCTAATTAATATGTAGAATTTTGAAATTTGAAGGGAGAGAATCCAAATGAAATTAATTTCAATCATAACAATTCACAAATGGAATTCAATTGATGCGCTTGATTCAAGTGTGTATAAGGAAAATAATATTTACCGAAATAATTTGTACATTTATGATTGAGTGTTGAGTTGAATATGCATGGTATATATGGTTGGCATATGGAATGGTAATAATTAAAGGAATGCTAATTTAAACCAAATTATTAACCAAATGCAGCCGACAATTTGTTCCTCTCTCTCTGTCTCTCTCTGTTTCGATTAATCCATTTTCTAAAATACCATCATCATTTTGAATTGACTAAATTGGAATCTGCTTTCAATTAGACGAAAATTGGCCTATATTTGGAGCACTTCGAATATATTTTCGTTTAACGTAAAATGAAAATGCTTTACAAACAAAATATTCTCGACACTCTGGAAATGTAATGGAGCGAGAACGAGAACGAGAGATTAATAGAGAGGTGTGAATTATTTGATTTCTTTTTATGTTGATTGACCTGTTTGGACGTATGCATTTAATTGCGTGTGAAACGAGTGAGAAAATAAATAAAACGTCGAAAGAAAAAAGAAAAAAAAAACTGTATGAAATGGGCTCTATGTTCTCAAAATAAACCTTTTAGGTGTAATAAACTAATCAAACATGTTTACATGTCAAGGAAAATGAAACGAAAATTGAGGACCCAAACAATATACCGAGAACGACATCGAGAAAAAAAAAAACGAAGCATACCAGAGAGAGTGAGAGAGAGAGAAAGAGAGAATTAGAGTTAGGAGAAAATGTATACACAGAAGCTAAACATGCATTTGGCTTTATTATTTTCTATATATACATATCGGTGCATCAATTTCTGACTAGTTCAATGTGCTTTGTCAACCTTTGTGCTTGTATCTTCGGGGCATAATTTTACCGTTTCGATTTGGTTATCGTGTTTCGTTTCTGATTAGAATGTCAATGCCGAAACATGGATGCAACATAAGCACATATGCCATACAGTGAACTCATCTCTATCTCTCTCGTCCTCGGTGTATGTGTGTGTGTGTCGAACGATAATTGGAGCTAGCGATAAGCAATTGGACAGCACCAACATTTGTGACATTATGTAAATGAAAATATTGTGCATGCGGGAGAAGAAAGAGACCAATCAATGCTATGGAATGTGGAAAATAAACTGAGAATTAAATAAAAAAAACTGTAGAAACAAAACAGAGAAGAGAAAAAAATGAAGTAAGCACAAAACCTTATTGGATTGAAGAGTTGTCAATGGCTATTAATCACTTTTATTTTTCCTCATTTCAGATTTAATAGATGCTCGGGATATTTAGATAAAAAAAATCATATCACGAAATGTTTGTGTCGTTTTTTTCATTCTTCTTCGTTTAAATCTCGTTGGCTATCTCTCGTTCACCATCTATGTATCTCTTTCTCAATGAATTAACAAGAGTGAATTACGATTGTGTGGCTGTGTTGTGTCATAGCAGAAGGTATTACGTTTATGTAACTCCGTTTGGATGCTGCTGCCATGGCTATTTTCGGTTGATCGTTTAACTGCTGCTCAAAATGATTCATTGAAGCGCTTCTTGAAAGTTTACCGCTCATTTGAGTGTTGTATCTTATCAAATAAACCGTGACGATGGACAAATGATACTCGAACGAATATTTGTTTGTTAGGCTGCCGCGCGCGCGGTTCAACAATTATGACAACAAAGTCAGGAGAGCAACAACCAAAAAACATAAAGAACACGTCAAAAAAGCGACAAGAGTAAAAACATTGACGACAAAATATAATTCAAGTCATTTGCATCATTTTTCCCCCTCGATTTTTTTTTTCGAAAGGAACGGTTGAGTTTAAGATTTATTCGACTTTTTTTCACTCTCTCTCTCTCTCGCATTCTCTTTATTCTTTCTGTTTTGAATAAATCAAATTGAATTATGGTCACGACTCTTTTTTTTTCTTCACTCATTCTTTGGTGCTGGTCGTTTGTATTGTTTTAAGCGGTGATTTTTCGGTGACAAACTTCACCGGTGATGTAAATATTGTCGCTGTTATTCATGTAAAAACGTGCATTGGAGCTTCAATTCAGTTGTCGCTACGCTTAAATTATCTATGGTAAAATTGACAAATGAGTTACCCTATCATTTGATTCGGTGTACTTTCACAATTGAGCTTGAACGCAAATATATGTTCATGCATCTTTTGCCACTGTGTGTACGAACCGCATCTCTTATGTAATCATCCAGTTGGCATAGTCATCGTTTTCGATTTTGAAACAAACAAAAAAACAAAAGCAAACAATCGTCTACACAATCACAAAGAATAGATTTGTTTGTCTTTTGGAATATGAGTCAATAATTTTCGTTGTCTTTTTTTATTGAAATAGAACAGTAAATAAAGCAATGGCTATTATTATTATTTTCTCATCGATGGAATTCGAAAGGCGAAGTTTTGT